TTTTTCTTATTGGTCATTATTTATCTCAGGTGTCGTTTTCCTACTGGTCAATATTGTACAATGTTATTTCCTATTTTATCGTACGATGTGGTCTGTTTGGTTTGTATATAAAGCTAGTATGCTTGAAATACATGATTCATATCTCCGAGGCTGAGACTTGTGTTCTGGACTCAACTGGCTGAGCTAGACAGGGAAGCGGGACCAATCAGAACCCTAGGTCGTTCTTACGTGTTTACTCGTCTTTGGTCCGATCGATAATTCGCTACCCTCTAATCTGCCGTTTCACTTATAGCAGAAAGATCCAAAACACTAACCTTATATTTGAATTTCAAATAACACAAACTGTGGTGTGTGCTACTGATGTTCACAGATATAAGTAATATGTATCATCATACACATTGTTAAATCTTAACATGCACACTGATTTCACGCTATTTTATGCAGTGATGAATGCAAGGTGTTGAACTAAAAGGAAATATGAATCAAAATAGTAACAACCATTTTCATAATAATGAATTTATTTATTAGTTTATGTCAAATAGTGAGTATTGTCGACGGATAGAAATAGTGTGATGTGTAGCTGCTGAGCGCATATTGGATGTGGATAACTCAGTAGATCTCTGGAGCGCATTCATTGAACGTCACGAGTGCCGAGCGGACATTGGATTTTAGTGGCTCGGCGGGTCGACGGAGCTATGAAAGTTAACTCACCGCGGACCATTGTAATTATATTACTTTCAGTAGTTGTGTATTTAGGAATAAGATTGATGGTAAAGGTATCATTTCTTTTACCGGTTTAATATTCGGACCACTGGTACCAGTATGTATATTAGAAGTTCTATTGTTTATAAGGAGATTTAAACGAACTAGAAGTTAAATATTCTTTTTCTCTTATTCTGCTTACATAATTTTTTTAGACTCCTCAATCAATTTTACACGGATCGTTATTTCTATTACCATTTCAATAAACTAATTACGATGTACGATGCCAAGTTTATTCATAGTACCATTGTTAAGTCAATCGAAGCATTTAAATCACCCCTATCGAGATACGCGTAAAATTTAAGTTTAAAAAGTAATGGTTTGTCTCAAATAGCGACTCTTTATTGAATAACATACAAACATTAGTTACATAACTCAGTATATGAGGCTTCTGTGGTGTTCATCGGGTTGTTTTTCTTCTGAAATAAATAGGCTCCGATAGTGCAACATGACAACTGTTGGCTGTGTCTAAACTTGATAACGGATTAATAGCAAGCAATATGAAAACTGTTACGTTTAAACAAGGATCAAACGGTTGTAGAGAATTGCGAATAACTACTACTATGACTGAGATAAAATAATTTTAATAATAAATACAATAAATGTTATAAGTAACAAACATGCGTTACAATATACGCGCAAAAATTGTCAGCAATGAAACTATCTACTGAATATTATTAAGTAGTATAAAACAATACTCAAAAGAGTCGGGGGGACAGAATAATTGACAGAGAATGTAAAACAGATCTAATACCGCCCCTCAAAGACAGTATGTCTTTCCTTATTCTTACTGATTAGATATTTATCGTGAATACATTCAGAAGTGACAATGGTACAGTTTTCTCTAGACAAAATCATTTTAGGAAGTCTTTCTACCATTCAATTGTCTATTCATTCTAAACAAACAAATGTTACGTACGTTTCTGGTGCATACTTTTCATGTTTACCATTCTTCTGTATCGGAGATGGATAAAAATTTCGATGTGACTGAATGTAATCTGAAATTGAATTGAATATTGTTCGTAATTGACCAAGAAGTTGGAGTGATTCAGCATCTAATAAACACCTTGTAAATATATTTGATAAGAATGCTTGATGAGTTTCTATAAGGTTACCTATATCTTGAGTGGAATAAACCGGATTAACAAGATTTTTTCAGACTCATCCCAAAACTTCACAACTAATATAATGGTTAAGCCATTGCACCGAATAAATGTTATACCAGTGATAAATCAACTTGTAGATCATAACCTAAACATGTTGTACATAATTGTTGTTTAGATAAATTGATTGATGTAAATTTCATACGTTTAGTACACCGAAGTAAACTAAACGAAAATAAATATGTAAAACGACAACTATCGATAAATATTGTAGCTGATGCACCCACGACATTATAATTCAACGAAAATATATCTCATCCAGTATCATAATCTGCTGATATAACAAGTAAACGAACATCTAAACGTTGAGAGGTTTCTGTTTGCTCACACTGTGCACTAGAATCGCGTATAAATGTCTTCGATATACCACTTAATCGACTAATTAGTATTTATGAACATGGTTTTATTTAAATTAGAATCTAACAAGCGCATCTTACTGTAGGAGAGGACAAACCAGATTCCAACGGAGGAAGAAATTAGAAAGAAGCGCTGGAAGTGGTTTGGACATATATTGAAGAAAGCATCCAACTGCATCACAACGCAAGCTCTTACTTGGAATTCTGAAGGCCGAAGGAGAAGAAGAAGATCAAAGAACACAATACACCGAGGGATGGAGGCAGATATGAGAAGAACGAACAATTAATGGATAGAACTGGAAATGAAGGTCCAGGACAGAGTGGGTTGGAGAATGCTGATCGGAGATCTATGCTCCATGAGGAGCAACAGACGTAAGTAGATAAGTTAGTAACTAACAAACCCATAAGATGGTGAATAAAATCCCCTTGTCCTAAGAATGAAAATTATCTCGTAGCTCATAAATTATCTAAGAAATTACAACGTCCTATTAATATTTTTAATAAATGTTGTATGTTTATACACAGTGAAATGTGGAAATACGAACAAGCAATGTGAAAACTGTTGCGTTTAAACAAGGATTAAACGAATATCAGTGAGTTGCGAATAACTGCTACAATGATTATGATGATGTAATTATAATTATAAATGCAATCGATGTAATAAATATGTGTAAATATCTTAAAAGATTACACAACGAACTTGCGTTACAACATACGCGTAGAAATTTCTAGGAATACAATTACTTACTGATTATTAATAAGTAGTTCAAAACAATAAACAAAAGAGTCAAGAGGTTGTGAATAAGGACAGAGAACTTAAAACAGACTTAGCAACCATTTGAGTACAATTTGTATAAGATATCTGAAGCAATATCAAACTCATTTACTTGAAGATGAATTTTAATGTAGAATATAATAAATTTTTCTAAATCAGTTAGGAGTAGATTGAGAAGTTTCAGTTTGTAAATGACAACTTGTTGGTTTACAGGAAAATGCATGACTTATAGAATCAATCCAAATGACGAAAATGAAAAAAGAAACGATTTCACGGTTGGTCTCATAGAAACACTTCAGGTATTTCACAGTCGAATACATATATGAATATCGTCTATTCATCATGTTGCCTCATCATCATTGTCGAAGTTAAATGCAACTGAGGGTAATTGTCATGTTAATATTGTTTAATCATACTGGTGATCTGCTTTAGTTAGCTGTACAAAATATATGTGATTGATTTGTTCCTGTGTTATTTTACATTTTGTACAGACTGAGGAACTTATTGTATTTTAAAAACCTTTAATTCAACCAAGGGTTACAATTTTATCCTGTGTAGAAGGTGACCAACAATAAGTTCATATATCATTTGTTTCTTCAGGATTCTAAAGCTCATGTGCACCATTGGTTTGGAATGAGGGTTTTCAAACTCTTCTAAGTGGTTCTTTTATATCCATCAACCCGGTTAAAGCAACAAACATTCACTTTTCGTTTTCTGAACTTTGTAAACAATAGGCATATCGCAAGAACGTAGTGAGTAAAACTTCCCTTGAACATAATCATGTGAAAGCATTTGAAGAAGGAGAGCTAACTCTCCTCTCTCCTGGCTGTACCAGAGCATTTAGGAGGTGGTGAGGCGGTGGGATAATGATTAAGCATATGGAAAAGAAGTGTCCAGAGTTGAATTCAAACTATATGACAATTCGTAAACGAGATGTAACATTCTGAGATGGTGGAGAAAATTTGTAACTCAGGTGGATGATTTTGCTAGAGTTTTGTTCTCTGCGCTGAGGTGTACAGAACAAGCTGTGAAACGCATATACAGAACTTTGAACATTTCACTTCTATCTGAAGTTTGTGCTGATGATGTTGTTCAGAAGAATGATGGAAGCTTCATAATCAAACCATCCAGCTCAGAGAATAAAACTCCATCAAAAAAGATGTAACGTTCAGGTGAAAATCTTCATTCAAAATGAGTATTCTTGTACACAAGTATTATAAGACCAAAATCTTAATATAACTTTTAGTCTAGTTAGTTATATGTTAAAATCTTTTTGTTCTTTCATAAGAAGAAGATTGAATTATGAATGGAATTTCATAATGATCTTGAACTATTCACATTTTTCTTTTGTTTATATTAATTAGTCTAGTTTTTAATGTTTCTATTGACCTGGATGCACTTCTATAGTCTTGATGAATCTAAATAGTATGGTGCTTTTTATAAAAAATGGTGTGATGTTTTATTATTCCATGATAATATGGCTTATCATTGTTAGTTAGATAATGAAAGTTTATGTATATTTAATAACTCAGTACGTCTAATTAGAGTGAATAGAATACTACTCTATGTGATTCTTCTACTGAAGATTGAACTATGAAGAATATTTATAGCTTAGGTAGATTATTTAGATCCAGATCTGAGAATAAAACTTCATCAAGATTAAGCCATTCATTCATATAGATTCCAATGATATTCTTTGAATTCATTCAGTATGTATGGTCTTTCATAAGTCACATAGATCTATCATCGTAATTCAATTGTGTTGATTTTGTTGTTACTTGTTTTTGTGTATATATTTTGATTTGCAGTTAAACATCACTTAGTTTCGTAATTGTAACAGTCTACTTAACAACCGATTCAAATGAAGCGGGAGTTATCATATCCCCCCCCATTTTTGTGAGTAATAGCGGTCAGCTTCCTTCGTTCTGTGTTTTTCGTTCGTTGTTTCTTTTAGGTAGCTACATCAATTATTGTTTCCATGTGCGTCCATATTACCACTAAATTATGTGTAATAAAATGAATTAGCGATATGTTAAGGCTAGTGGGATTGGGATAAATATGATATATCCATATAACATCCTCGTGATTTCTTCTGTTCTGCACAAATTCTAAGTACTCAACTTCAGCTTCCTGGTATTATATATACTGTAATACATATATAATTTCAGACTGATCATTTCCTAGTTGTTAAGCTTTGACATGCTAACAGAAATGATTGAGCGGCTTTACTTACTAAACTGATCTACTTCATTACATGGTTTAAGTTCTATACTTAAGTATAGTAGAATTATATCGACTAAACCTATTTATATGATAATGTGGTGTTTGAATGAACTAATGATTCCTTTGTACTTGTTGAATGCTTGGTTTCGAATTTCAAATACAGTACATTCGTTAGTGCTTATCTAGTATTTCTTAATCAGATCACGTTATTCCTGAGCTTCTTAGTTCATACTATAATTCAAATACTCCTAATTATCACATTGGCGTCGAGATGGAGTCCGTGATGGAATTGTTGGACATACACGTAGATTTTGATGCTTTTGAGGATTACTTTGAAAGGTTCGAACTCTGGGTTATGACCAAGGAAGATGATGAGGATGTTAATATTGTAGCAGATTTCATCAAATTCATCGGAAAAGAAGCATATAGCTTATTAAAAAATCTGGCTTTACCGGAAAAGCACATTTCGCTTTCTTATACAACTCTCAAGGATCTACTGCTAGACTATGCTAAGTGTACAAATTTCAAACACGGTAAAGGGAAATTTCGTAAAATGATTCACCTCAATTCAGTGCATACTCAAGGTTATGCAGATAATTCATTGAGGATTTGTGATGCAGTTCATGAAGATGAGCACAAGTTTGGTCAATGTTTGTCCTGTGTCAAGTTCCACTCTTTTAATTCATGTAAATTTCGTAATTCTAAGTGCTTTAAATATGGCGATATTGGACATATTCTGTCAGTTTGTAATACTACTGTTCATCTTTCTGCAACGAATATTAAGTCTTGTAATTGTGATTCTATTAAGTCCAGTGTTCCTAATGATCATTTATCCTTATCAACGATTTCAAAAGTCAGTGTAGACTCATATAGCGGTTCAGAGTTAAATGAAACTCAGAATTCTTGCAAGACAACAGTTTCTAATCAATCAACTTATCAGATTTCTAATGTTATTGTACCAGATATGATTTTCCCTAATGATTCCCTTATTTCTGACGAAATCCCTTACAAATCTGAGGTAAATATGTTGAATGAACCTAATCATGATCAAAAACCTGATGGAGTCTTGATAGATGCTGATTTTTCTAATGATCCTCTACTCTGCAATGACATTCTTAATAAATTTGAGTCAAATCTCGATATTGTACCAAACATTATTTGTCCTCATAATGTATTTGTTTCTTGTGGGAAACTTGTTCAATGCAAAGCACCAGTACTAAATGATCTGGATTTTGTATACAAATCGGATGAATTCATATCAAATGCTGTTTACCCTTATCATAAAAACACTTCTAATGTTTACTCTAACCACTGTGAGAAATATGTTTTAAATGAAGCCACATCATTCATAACTTGGAGATATAACGATCCAACATTATTTCGTGGGGGAGGATAGTGTTGAAAAATCTATGGTTTGAATTCTAGATAATAATGATTTCATTGCAAAACCGACATACTGACTGTATACAATTCCCTGTGAATCTGTTCCGATTTCGTTTGTTAATTCCAATACTACAAAGTTTTTATCTAATACAATGTCGGACAGACTCAGGATGAACTTAAGAAGAAGACGTACAACCGACTACAAACACTTATACTTCTATTTAAGCTGTGGCGGATGTGGTGCTTGAATGAACTAATGATACCTTTGTACTTGTTGCATACTTGATTTCAAATTCCAAATACAATACATTCGTTTGTGCTTGTGTCTTACTTCTTAATTGCGTTATTTCTGGGACTCTTAGTTCGTACTGTAATTCAAATATTATATTATTTCTATTAAATGCATTACCTTACTTGATCTAGCATGACTGAGTCGATGAGAACTCATATCACAAACACTAGAATTATTACCACACATATGTTCATTGTCATCGAACAATTCTTAAGCAGCTAATGAAAACTCATTTTTTAACTGAGTACTCTCCTTTGACTGTCTACTCCTTGTTCTCATTGTATAGCTCCGTTTTAGGCAAACTTTCATTAGGTCAATTTCAAGTGCTTACGAAGTTGTTTAAATAAACTCAGTCGAAAATCAAACCGTATCCGAGATTTACAAAATCCACCAAATAAATTAAAGAACTTTTATTATTTGTTTAGAATCTGCTCTGACCAGTTACTGAAACATGACCGATGGATACACTTATATCATAAGATCTTAATAACGAAAAATAAATTCTTTTCTATTTAGTAAAGCTTTGTAATCAGCCATCTAGGGCCAGTAATAAAATACCATTCTAGACTGCTTCCTCAGGGTAAGATCTCGAGCAATCAACCATGGATAACTGAGAAAATAGTTTAAAGAGCACATTGAGTGTAATTACATTTTTCCCAGTTTCAATAAACAAATGTCAGTATTACTTAAACTAAAAAAGGACTCAACGCCTCTCCATCTATTCATCTGTAACGATTTTTAGAGACGTGATGATGATTTCATGATGATTTTCATCTTCGCATATATGTTTTCCTAGTATCATTAAACCGATGTCACATATGTAGTTTTTCACATCTCTACAAGCTTTGAAGCTTCTGTATGAAAACATTAGGTCTTTTGGTTGTGCATAGACTGAAACATACTCTTTGTTCATTAATAGTGCACTTGCATTTAACATGTGAGCAACTTATATTTCTTAAAGATCAATTACTTTTTATCAAATTATTGATTTTTGAATGTTATGGAGCTTGCTGTTTGACGCATAATGACCGTGAGACATTGTCAAAGTGCTTCAAGTTGTCCATGATTTTAGTTTTTAAGTCAAAATACCATCGCGTCTATATCTGATTGATTACTGACAAGATATAATGAAGTGACAATTGTCTTGTGATCGAGTCACCACATTTACAGTTTCAGATAGTTGAATAGACTAAATTTCATGGTCAACCATTAACACAGTCGGTGAATAATCGATCATTTTGCCGATGATGTAAGTTTATTTCAACATAAGTGTTTAACTATACTATCCGATTCTTGATATCTTAGAATGATTATTCGATATAGCGTTTTACGTAGTTGTGGCGATTCCGTCCATAAACAACACCAAAATGGAACTACAAATAACGCAGACTAAAATTGTCGCTGTCAAAACTTGCTGGTTAAAATAAATATTACTGAGATAGGCAGTTGCTTAGCAGACAATTTAAAGCTGAAACAATATTCAACCAAGTACACTGAATAAACTGTATCCTATATAGCTCCCAAAACGACCGATAATTATCATAAATTCGTTTACATTAGTTTCTCAAGCAATTTCTCATTGACCAATCATCATTTGACTATCATTTTACTATTATCGAAATACATATTATTCTTGAAGATCTAATCTCAGACTACCTACAATGGTTTCCAGTTCTTTCATCAAACAGTTCAAAACTCTCAAATACTTCACCACATCGCATGATACATCATGACATTAGTTAATAATGGTGATATGCCTGACAATTTTAAAAAATGATAAATAGAATAAAAAGTCTTTTATAACAAGAGTAAAGTTAATTTATCTAATTTTATTTATAGCAAATATAACATTATGTTGAAACAACAAAAAAAGGAAACATGACACAAACGTTTATTTTAAAGTTACGTAATAAAATGATAAAGCAAATCAAAATCCACAAGTAAAGCACAACAATCCTGAATGTTTATCACACATTTAGATAACATCAGTATCAATGAAGTCTGAAAAAAAAGAAGAAACAATAATACATCATTATTAATCAATCTTGCATCATCGATTGAGCAAAAGTAATGGATTGAATAAATTGGTGAATGAGTTCCGGATGCATAACAATAGGGGTGGACAGTATATCACCAATCAGTGAAAAATCTCATAGTAGGATCTTAATAGAAATGCAAAATCTTATTTAAAATAACCATGAAAGAGAAGGGAAAACTCGTACAATGGAAACCAGTAAAATATTATAATATACATTAGAGATGAAAAGATAAAGGCATATTCAAAAAATGTGACGTTAAACTCAAGCATTAGTCGTATGCCTTAACAACAGATTAATAAAATGAGATGAATCAAAATGAAGATGTAAAATATAGAAATAAGTCGATGTAAATGATGAAGCAACATTTACATTGAATAATGAAACATTGATTCAAAATACACTGCCTGTACTTCCATTTACGAGTGTACTCATAGTGATAACCCAAACAATCAATAAAGGGGAAATAAAGTGGACGAAAGGGTAAATAAAGGGGAAATGTCGCTTTTTCGATTTTACGTCGGTTATTTAGGGGAAATGTCGATTTTATCCCCTTACGTTGTGTATTTGAGGAATATTTGTCGACAATTATACACTACATACCGTGTTTGAATATGCCACATCCCGTACTGATGATTTCATAAACGTCGATAAAATAAGGCACCAATTGATAAAAAACTTGGTGTCAACTCCAAACTATTGAATAAATTATAAATTGACATTGATGCCATGAATGTGAGACGGTCATGAAAACATACCGGTCAATCTAGGGGTTCAGTGGATATAAAACTGAAATTTCTCTAACACAAATACAGAACACAATTGAGATCGAGTTGAGTGTACATAAATCTTTGAGAATGTGAACAATTTCCAGTTTAATAATGGAATGTTCGATGGAAAATCTTTTCAATCGAGATAAATGAAAGCTGTTAGTTATCATGGGAAATAAGGAAATATTTGAATTAACATCAAACGATGAAATATTGCACTTACGACTGCTATCACTTTTATTGGCGTCTTTTATTCCGACCTAAAAACAACAATGAAATAAACAGTTAAATGAAAATGGATGAGCTGAACTGTATAAAAATACGCCAAAAATTATATCATTCAAATCGAACTAAGATGACTGATATGCAAATTCAAAGCTTATTCCACTGTTGCGTTCCATTGAAACGGTAGTCATGTGCTACGCTGATGGAGTAATAAGATGACATTCATCGAAATAGTGATATCAAATAATGAAACGTGTCATTGTGTCTTATGTAACAACGCTCTAATGAATAATGGAAGATCGTTTAAAGAAAACTGTATGCGCATTAATATTTAAGTGAGCTCATAGTGAAAAGTTCAAGTTAGTGAATAAATTAAGAACTGAGTTTGATGTTATGAATGTAAGAGAGCAATAATAGATCGATAAAATTATATGGTTCGATGAATATATAACTGTTATTCCGCCAATGTACATAAAGAACACAAATGACATCGAAATGTGTGTGCATGCATCATGGAGTATATGGACAATTCTGAGTTTGACAATGGAATACTCGACATAAAATATTTGCTATCGGGATAAATGAAATCTGTTTGTCAACATAAGAAGTCAAGAAATGTTTGAATTGTCATGAATCACTGAACCATTTTGCTTAGCCAGTTAATATTTCTGATCGTTCCTGCAAACAATGATTATCAACAGGGTCAAATGAGAAAGAATAGACTTTGCTCTATAATATTACGCCGATAATTACAATGTTCAAATAAAACTCAGATGATTGACATATGAATTCTATGCTTCTACCATGAAGTTCCATAAAAGCGTTGCTCATGTGTTAACATCATGGCAATAATAAAAATAAATGCATCATAGTGTTGATGTGGAATAGTGAAATAAATCCTAGTGTCTTAACTAACAACGCTTACAAAGAATAATTAAACATCATCTGACAAACAATGTTTTCATTTCAATGCGTGACGGGCTCACAATGATAAGCACACGTTATTGAGTAGATAAATAACTGCAAAATTTTCACTAAGGGATAACAAATACACATTTATTTATTCGTTGGAAACAAAGTCAGACTACATTATTCACTGCATCAAGGAATTGACAAGTACCAACGCGTATGAGAGTGTTTCAGATGTTTACCATGAGATCATGAATCTTGAGCGAAATCTGTGCTTGTTGAAGCACTCAATGTCAAATGGCTCTGCAGAAAATGATTTTGCAAACACTTTACAAAGAGAGTGGAGTAAGATATTCATGACATCATGTCGGTAAATTCAGGGGTTCGGTGAAGGCGAAAATGACATTCCAATAATACAAATGCAAATGACAAATGACATCGTGATGTGTGTCTATGAATCTTGGAGAGTGTAAAAAAATTCGAGTTTGATAATGGACTATACGATGTACCATGCTCGCTATCTGGATGAGTGAAAGCTGTTTGTTATCACAGTGAATCAAGAAGTGTTTGATTTATGAACAACCATTGAATCAATGAGCTTACCATTTCCAGTATTTCGCGTTCCTTTCACTGTCTTTTCTGAAAACAAAGTGTAAATCAGAAGTTGTGTGAAAATAAATGAATCTCTCTGTATATTATTACGCTCACAATGATATTGTTCAAATGGAACTCATATGATTGACGTAGTAATCCAAAGCTTCTCCCAGTGTGGCGTTCCACTCAAGCGTAAATCATGTGCGACGGTGGAGTGGTAACAAATCGTCATGCATCAAAATGTTGACATAGAATGGGAAAATGAGATCTAGTGCCTTATGCGACAAAGCTCACAATGAATAATGGAACATTGATTCACAATCACTGTTTTTAACTCAATGTGTAAATGTGCTCATTGTGATAACTTTAATTTCTTGAATAAATAAAGAACTAAGATTGGTGTCATGAACGTATTCATGTTAGATCACTATTG